TACGAGTAAGATAAATGAAAAGTACTGGTACCATTCAACTCGTCTCATCCTCACGAGCATCATGGTACCAGAATCAAGGCCTAATTTTGCCTGCATTGAAAACCCCTAAAACGAACACAGAAACCCTAGCAAAGGCAATATCATGTACAGGCATCAAAAATGAAATTAAATGGCATGGTTAGCTTGCAAACATGATGACAAACACGAATATAACAATCAAAAGTGCTAATGATGCAAGAATTGGGATAATTGATTCTGAAAAAAATGCAAACCGTGTGAGTTACAGTTGGTGATTCTAAGTGCTTCAAGCCTTGCAATTGATCCAATTAGCTTCTTGGAAGGTCCAACAATGGATTAGCAACGTTGGAATGGTCTGAATTGATCTCTAGATTCAAAAACCAACCAACACTTTTTGTCACTTTTTTGAGTTTTGTTCTATGCCTCTCACGACCTCTAACCCTTTTGTTTTGATCTAGAATTCTTCATTATATAACCTAGAGTGAATTAGGTTAACAAACTTGGATCCAATCTTGAGAATTCATGAATGGAATATTTGATTTTCAAGCCATATGATATCTTGCTATTTTGAGCCAAAACATGCCTTTCTTGTATCAATTTCCCTTGATTCGATTTTCTCTTATTTACTCAGCATATCTTGATTGCCAAACTGTCAAAAAAACAAATCAAATCATATCTTTGTTAATTTTCATCATTTATTTGATTTAATTCACTTTTTAATTAATGAAAAATCAAAATAAATTGAAAAATGAAGCATATAATGGGTGATTGAACATTTGAGTCGTGGACCATATTATAATTGAGGTGCAAGCATAAAAAGTTGGGCCCATTTAGCAAAAAATGCAAATTTGAGCATATTTGACTTTTGGCAATTTTGCAAAAATGGTAACCTTGGACAATGCATAACTCTCTCAATTTTGACCCTAGAGAGGTTTTCTTTGACTTTTTAGAAATCTTAGGATGTCCTATAAACAACCCTTTTGGTCTCATCTTAATTGAGTCTTCCATGTTCCTGTATGAAGCTTTGACCCAAAAGGTGTTTTTGTTGACTTTTCAAAAGGTCCTATAATGTCAAAATTCATATATTTTTGTGAGTGCATATTATGAACTTGGGAGATGAAGCTTAATTGTATGGAATTGTATCCTCTTCAAAATGAACTTTGAATGGGTCATTTATGATAAAGTATGAGAAAGTTATGCTTGGTCAAAGTTGAGTTGACTTTTCCTATAAAACCCTAATTTTGCAACTTTTGGGTTTTGATGAATTGTGAGCAATCCTTGAGGAATCATGATCAACCATTGATCAAATGATGGATAATACTTCAAAATGAGGGTGTTGACCAAAAATATTGAAGTTTGACTGTATGTGGGCCACAGTTGACTTTTAACCTAGTATAGTTGATTTTCAAGCATTTAAGCAATTGACTGAGCAAACTTCTTCTGCAAGGCTTGAAACTTGATATGGATGATCTTGAGAACATATTATAACAATGGTGAGCATTTGAATCCTTTTTGGTTCACACATCTTGATGAAGATGGAAACCCTAATTTGAGGTATACTGCCTTAGGAGAGAGTTTGTATGGTCAACTCTTGAACTTCCTTGAGCAATTTGGGGACCTCACTTGCCATGTGTTGAGAAATATGGGAGGGAAAATTTTGGGGTACAACAGAGATGATATCAAGGCTTTGGTTACTTCTACTCTGTGGGGAATACAGATGTTACAAGGTCACATGTATTGATGACTATGCTCCAAAGCTGTGTCTGCCTTGGTACTTGCTGGACAAGGTAACTGTCGGGTTTGACATTTTAGTTTTTTAAACCCGACAGAAAAAGAATAAACCATTGTAAGTTCTTGCAAAAACAAAACAGAAAAAGAAAAACAAATAGTTTTGTAAAAATGACTTGTATTGATTTTGACGTTGGCCTATAACAGGCGTTTTTTGTACAAGGAAGTTGACGCTCTAGTAAGAGAACGCCGCCGTAAAAATGAAAGATATACAGTATTGTGTAAAAAAGAAAACAAATATGTGCAACAATCCCATTGGGCTTCAAGCCCTCTATTGCCACTATGCCTTCGAGCGTCTCCTCACTTTGCTGCTTGTCCAAAGCTGATTAGATTGATTGATGCCGTTTGAGTTTGACAGTTGATATTGAGGTCAGATTGCAGGGTGATCCAATGGTGTAATACCCCAAATTTGTCCTACCCTTTTACTTCCTATCTGGCTTACGCATTTTGCATTTTTTCACATATATAGTTTCCATTAGGTCATCTAACACATCATGCATCATCAATCAATAAATTGGCATAAGATCATGGATTTCGAGGAATAAGGGTTGTTGTATGCTTTGAGGCTCCCATCTTCACACAAACTTGTTTCAGGTATCTCAACTAAAAATGCAAGTATTAAGGTTGATGTCTCTATACTAAAGGTCATCTGATGAATAAAGGGCTGGATTATATCAAAAGTTACTCTTCTCAACATTTTGGCTTCATTCAACACATGAAATAGCTTCAAGGTTGTATACAACGCAAGTCACTCACAAGTCACCCAAAGGCTGTAAACCCCAGTATTGAAGGACATATCCTTACATTTATCATCTTCGCATGAATCCGGGTTCATTTTCTCAAATGTGTTAACTCCAAGAGGAATTCCATAAGAGGTTTGTTTATCAGTGCGTCTAATCATCATCATTCAATTGGATAGCTCTTTTCTAAGCCATGGGCTTAGACATGGAGGTCCTTCAAGATGATATTCTCGTGCTTACAATCATTATCTGAGTTAAGGTTTATTTCCATACTCATGCGGTGGCCGAAAGGTTTTCTTATAAGGTTATATTCATTAGGGAAGAACATGATTCTTTAGTGCATTGCTTGGATCAACATGGTTCTTTATCAATCAGGATTTGAGGGGTTAAAATTTATGTTCATGGTTGTTGGAAATTTCCTATTTTTATTAAGATACTTATTTTCATCAAAAGACAAAGCCACCTTTCCGGGTTACTTCAGTAAGCAGACAAATTAGGGTTGCGAGTTGTTGGGGTTTGCATTTCATCATGGTGAGGTTTTCCATCTATTAGCAAAAATGTTGGGTATTTTATTCATTAGAATTCGGCTCGAGCAAGAATTTGGCCTTGTGCTTATTGGACTGCTATTTTGTCATATCTGGATTTAGAGGCGGTTTGCTTTCTGCTCTTTTCCTTCAGTTAAACATTTTCGTTGGTGCTTCTGGTGCGCTCTTTGGGTTGCTAGGAGGAATGCTATCAGAGCTCATCACTAATTGGTCTATGTATGATAACAAGTCTACAGCATTTTTCACACTTGTGATCATCATTGTTATACATCTTGCAATTGGAATTCTCCCGCATGTGGACAACTTTGCTCATATTGGAGGCTTTCTTACTGGATTTCTTCTCGGGTTTGTGTTTTTGATACATCCTCAGTTTGGATGGGTTAACCAATGATATGCTCGTGTAGACTATTCTCCAACACGTGCTAAGCCTGAATTCAAGAAATATCAGTGTGTATTATGAGTCCTCTCTTTGATCATTTTAATCATTGGGCTTTCTGTTAGGTTGGTTGCATTACTCCGAGGTGTTGATAAAAATGATCACTGCTCCTGGTGCCATTATATGTCTTGTGATCCAACTTCAAAAATGGAGCTGTCTTATCAAAGCAGCATATTGTTTGTCAAACCAGCTTCGCAACCAGTTAAATGTAACATGCTCAAGCAACGGTAAATCCAATACATACTTCATGCAAGATCCAACTAGTTCGAAGATCCAGTGATTAGATCCAGTGATTGTGTACTCTAATTTGTAATTGAGTTTTGACCAAATGGGATGATGACAATTATAAGGAGACTATAAGTTGTTGATATTAGGATTTCAGGCCCACATGAAGCACTATAGTGCTATAACATTGTTTATACCTTTTATCATATTCATGATTCATGATGCTGGATTAAGAAGATTAACTTCACCTTAGCAGATTTGTTTATTCTAGGTAAATAATACTCTGGCTTATACTTATTTTATGACAGGATCAAAACTAAATACACATCAGAATTCACATTAAAATACTCATAGTCTACATATACTAAAACCTAAGGCTTTAAGCTTTACATTTTTCTAATCTTCGTAACCATTCGCGTGTTCTTCATAATCAATCTTCATGCCTCATCCAGATTCGCGACTAACCACCTCAGCATTACTCCAGCCAGTTCATTCCTGCCATAACCACTCCATAACCTGTAATAGAAAATCAAGAAAACTTCAAACAGAATACAACTAACTTGCAACAGAAAATAACATAATAAAACTTCTAACGGTTTCTAACCATAACTAACCTCTAACATAATTCCATAGCCTCACTAACCAACTGAAAATAACAGATTTATGCAGTCCTCTAACTAATTTTCTAACCTCCTTAACCATAACTTTCCTAACAGCTTTCATAATCAAACTAACTCAACTATAACCAACTTTCCATTTCCCACCTCTTAACCACCTAACAGAATCTCTAACACTGCATAACAGAATAACAAACAGCATAACTCATCCCTAACCAACTAAACAGCTCAAACCCAATCCCTAACTATCCTAATTGTTTCATAACAACTTCCTAAAAGAATTTCTAACAGCTAACCAATTTGCAACCAACTGCATAACAAACTGCATCTCAACTTCCTAACAGAATTTTTGGTAATTACCTCCTAACCAACAAACCTCCAGCATAAGAATACATATATAACCAGAGATTGACAGAATAGAGAGACTATTTTTCAACACAAAAAAAGATATGATTACCTTTCATTCTCGCTTCCTCTATTGACACTTCTTCAATATCTGCAGAGGAACCACCAAAAAACCCCTCTCAATTATTTTATGCCCTCTCTCTCTGCAGGATCATAAAAAATCTTGGCATCACAACAATCTTCACCAATCGTACCAGATCCACAATACTTCTCGGCATCATCATCTATGCTTCAGTCAATTCAAACAACATCACCACTATTTTTTTTCATCGCAGCAACCTTCATCACATCATCACTGAATCTACAACGCATCAACAACTCAGAAGTGAAACCGAAAAGAATAAGTGAATTAAAATGGAAATCACAAGAGAACGATAAGGTAGAAGAAAGAAACTAAATCGGAGAAGCAAGGCTCGAGAAGTTACTTGGAAGCAAACATCTCTGGCTTTCCGCTTCTAATCGCCACCGTCGAAGACACGTCGGACAAACTCCGATCAGTGAGTTTTAATTTCCATTTTCTCACAATGTTATACATAGCATCTTGCTTGAACGTGTGTAGTCTGTGATTGGATTTGGAGGCTTCGAAGCTTCGATTTCTTTGTGTAGTTCCTATGTAGAACACGATGACAGAACAACGGTGTTGAGGACTTGAGGAATGAATAGAAGAAGAAGCAAGAACGAGGAGAAGAAAAGAGATCATTACCTGAAGGAATCGCGGCCGGGATCGGGGTTTGCCGCCGTCAGAAGCGATTACCGGCGTGGCGGAGATCATCGGAGGAGAAAAGAGGACGGCGCTCATGGAAGCACGGCGAGATAACGGAAGAGGAAGCAAGAAGAAAGGAGAAGCCGCATCGTGGTGCTAGACGGAGGTCGCCGGAGCGGAAGAAGAAGACGGCGGAAAAAAAAAGGGACGGCGCTGTTCGTGAGGGAGAAGAAGAGAACAACTCAGATCTTTTCCTTAACCCTATTCCCTTTCCAATTTCATACGTTTTTTCTTTTAGTTTTAATTGTCTTATTGTTTTATTATTTTTAATTTAAATTAATGACAATTATAACTAAATTGATAATTAAAAACATGTTAGAAAAATGAGGAATTAATGAGACTGGGCCTCACTTTTTGCTGTAGGCCCGTGTTGTTGTTTTTTTAGCCTGAAGCAATTGAACAAAAAACTCTTTTGGGCAAATTACTGCACTACACCCCTGAATTTAGCTCATACCTCCTGACTCTTCTAATTTTTCTTTTTTATTATTTTAGTTTTCTTTTAGTTTAATTTTTTCCTCTCAATTGATAATAAAAATAATGGAATATTTTAGAATTCTTTAGAATTTCTTTTTAGAATTTCGATTAGAATTTTTTCTATTTTATTTTTCATATTCGATAATCATTTTTATTGCCATTTTCTAGTCAAGATTTTTGTAGCATCGACATAACTCTTGCAATGTGGAATGCTCGGGGTGAATTCTTCAATCACTTGCCCAAGGGAACTTTGATAGAATTTTCTTACCGCTTGCACAATTTTGAAGAGGCAACGGACCTTCTCCGTTCGGTATCGCCACAACCCTATTTTATCCTTCATTTCGGTACTTTATCGCAATCCATATGCATGCTAACAGTATGTAGAATTCCCTCAAAATTCTAACTTTAGGTCTAACGACGCACGATAACATAGGTTTAGAAATAGGCTAATCCCCCTTTAACTTTTCTTTCCCTTTCGCATACGCATCTAAAACTAAAACTTCTTTTCTTTCAAAATTCAAAACACTTTAAAACTACTGATGAGAATCATGCTTTTGCTTGGTACGGGAAATGATAAGCGGGTCTCTTCTCGATCTTATTGTTCTTCATCTCAAGCATATGTGTGGTTCAATTCTCAAAAATTCCTTTCATGACTAAGTAGAAAAATGGCTAATATCTCTCTCTTGAGGTTGACTTGTCACCATCTACAACAAAATATAAACCAACTCAAATCTTTTGTGCGCTCAAGCACCTTTTCTTTTAAACCCTTTTCAGGTAAGGACATGATTAATTTACTTCTGTGCCAACGCATAAGTCTCCGAAGGTCGAGCTGCGGCAGAAGGCGGAATTAACTTCGTCCATAAAAAACACAAACAAAAAAATATGTGAGCCGAACTACGGTAGCTCTGACTCCTCAAAACGGATACGTAGGCATTGGGGTAGGGCCCAAGCGAGCACAATTTTATTTTCCCTACATTTTTTCCCTTTATTTTGCATGCATTCTCCCTCCAGTAGTATAGTAAACAGTAAGCATAGATTAAACACACCCATAAGATAGATAAAAAGAGTGGATACCGTAGAGTACTACGGGCGTGTGGGGTGCTAATACCTTCCCCTCGCGTAACAAACTCCCTTACCCGATCTCTCGGTCGCAAGACCGTGACTTCTCCTTTCTCAGGTTTTCTCGATGTTTACCTTTCCCTACATGTGGGATAAAAGACGTTCGATGGCGACTTCATTGTTTGATGATTTTCAGCCGGTTGTTTCAAATGGGACATAGTGATACGCTTTTTATCCCTAACTTTTGCCTGGACCGCCCTTTCGAGTTTTCAGTCCACCGGGATACCCCTTTTTTCCCAAGTCGCCTTTTCAGGTTTTTGACTTGCCGGGTGTACAGATTTTTTCATTTTCATCCCTTATTTTTGCCCGAACCCTTTTGGTTCGCCGGGAAGCCCTTATTTTTGCCTAGGCCAGTCAACCTAGCGGGTCTTTTATCATGCGTAGTATCTTTTCACTATGTCGGTATTGACAGGGTGAGGAAGGTCGTCGCCGTCTATGGTGGTTAGAATCATGGCTCCACCCGAGAAAACATTTTTTTACCACAAATGGCCCTTCGTATGTGGGAGTCCATTTGCCCTTGGGGTCACCTTGTGGCAGTATGATGCGCTTGATCACCAAATCCCCGACTTGATACTCTTGGCGTCTGACCTTCTTGTTGAAAGCCTTTATCATTCTCTTTTGATACGTCTGACCGTGGCAGATAGCAGTAAGTCTCTTTTCATCGATTAGATTTAACTGATCAAGTCGGGTTCAGATCCAGCCGTCTTTGTTCAAACCCGCATCCTTCATAATCCTGAGAGAAGGTATCTGGACATTGATGGGTAGGACTGCCTCCATGCCATATACCAGAGAGTAGGGTGTTGCCTCTGTCGATGTCCGTGCTGAGGTACGGTACCCATGAAGAGAAAATGGTAACATCTCATTCCAGTCTTTGTATGTCACCGTCATCTTCTGTACAATCTTCTTGATGTTCTTATTAGCTGCTTCAACAACGTCATTCATCTTCGGCCGGTAGGGAGAAGAGTTGTGATGCTGTATCTTGAACTGTTTACAGAGCTCGGTGATCATTGTGTTATTAAGACTTGTACCATTGTTAGTAATAATTCTCTCTGGTACATCGTATCGACAAATCAGATTATGCCAGATAAACCGCGCCACAATGCTCTTGGTTACTGTGGCAAAAGAGGCTGCTTCAACCCACTTCGTGAAGTAATCAATGGCTACTAGGATGAAGCAATGTCAATTAAAAGCGGTGGGCCTGATTTCTCCGATCATGTCGATGCCCCACATTGCAAAGGGCCACGGAGGTGTCAAGACGTTCAAGGGAACCGAAGGCACATGCACCTTATTAGTGTAGATTTGGCATTTATGACAAGTTCGAGAGTGCTGATAACAATCGGCTTCCATAGTGGACAAGTAGTATCCTACCCGTAGGATCTTCTTAGCCATGGTATGTCCACTAGAATGGGTTCCGAAGGTTCCTTCATGTAGATCTGTCATGATCCTCTCTGCTTCTCCCTTTTCTACACACCGTAGTAAGGTAGCGTCATGGTTGCGTTTATAGAGGATTCCATTACTGAGGAAGAACTTTGCGGCGAACCTTCTTAGAAACTTCTTATCGTTGACAGATGCCCCTTCGGGATACTCTTGAGCCTCGAGATACCTTTTGACTTTGTGAAACCAGGGTTTGTCTTCCACTTCTTCGGTATCAATTTCACAGCAGTGTGCTGGTTCATCTAACCTCTCAATGGTGATTCAGGGAGCTTCATTGTCCCACCTTACCTTGAACATAGAAGACATGGTAGCTAGCGCGTCCGCTAACTGGTTCTCCTCTCGTGGGAAATGTTCGAAGGTTACCTCCTCAAAGTGTGGGAGCAATGTCAATACATACTCTTTGTAAGGAATGAGATTCGGGTGCTTCGTATCCCACTCGCCTTTGATCTGACTTATCACCAAAGCCGAATCCCCGAATACACTCAAGAACTTAATCCTTAGGTCAATAGCAGCTTGAAGACCCATAATACATGCTTCATACTCCGCCATGTTGTTGGTGCAGTTGAAACATAATCGGGCAGTGAACGGAGTATGACAGCCCTCGGGAGATATGACTACAACACCAATGTCGTTACCTAGTGCGTTCGAGGCTCCATCAAAATACATAGACCATCGGGATCCTTCCTCAGGTCCTTCATTCGGTCCAGGTTCTTTGTAGTCAGTCACTAGCATGATATTCTCATCCGGGAACTCAAAATTCATGGACTGATAGTCATCCACGGCTTGATGAGCCAAATGATCAGCCAATGCACTCCCCTTGATTTCTTTATGGGTCGTATATTGTATGTCGTATTCAGTAAAGATCATTTGCCACCTTGCTATTCTTCCGGAGAGAGCGGGCTTCTCGAAAATGTACTTGATCGGATCCATCTTTGATATCAACAAGGTAGTGTGAGTCAGCATATACTATCTTAGCCAGCGAGCAGCCCATGCCAAAGCGCAACAAGTTTTCTCGAGCAGTGAGTATTGTGTGTCACAGTCGGTAAACTTTTTGCTAAGGTAGTATATTGCATGCTCTTTTCGACCAGACTCGTCATGCTGCCCCAGTACACACCCCATCGAATTGTCTAGCACTGTCAGGTATAATATCAAAGGTCTCCCTTCAATTGGAGGCATCAGAATTGGTGGTTTTTTCAGGTATTCCTTGATTATTTCAAAAGCGATCTGGCATTCATCATTCCACTTTACCACTTGATCTTTCTTCAGAACCTTGAAGATCGGCTCACAAGTAGCAGTCAGATGTGATATGAACCTGGCGATATAATTCAGGCATCCTAAGAAACCTCTAACTTCCTTCTCTGTACAGGGAGCTGGAATCTCTTGTATAGCCTTTACCTTTATGGGGTCTACCTGAATACCTTTGTCACTGACGATGAAACCTAGAAGCTTATCGGACCTTACCCCGAAGGTGCACTTGTTCGGATTCAACCTCATCTTGTATGTCTTCAACCTATCGAACAACTTTTGGAGATGATCAAGGTGCTCTTCCTCAGTCTGAGACCTGGCTATCATGTCATCGACATAAACTTCGATCTCATGGTGAATCATATCATGGAACAAAGCGACCATGGCACGCTGATAAGTTGCCCCAGCATTCTTCAACCCAAAAGGCATCACCTTGTAGCAGAAGGTGCCCCATTATGTAACGAAAGTTGTATTTTCCATGTCTTCAGGAGCCATCTTGATCTGGTTATAGCCAGAGAAACCATCCATGAA